GATTAAAAGCATTCCCTACAGTTGCACTGTCATTTAACAAAATATACCCATCTTCTTCAGGGAAAGAACTCAAGCCTAAAAGGCATATCAAATTGCAACTGAAATAATAAAACATCCTGCAGGTAATAATCAAATGCAAAACCAATGCACTTCAATAACTAGAGGAACATGGGAAGGAAAATGGACAAGAGGGACAAAGGTATTTCCAGAATCATTTATTATTAGACATTCTGATTAGGCTTTATGAAACTCTCTTTGACCAGGACCTTCCAGCATTACATAGAAAGCAAACCAAGAATTAGTACAACGGTTTGTGGGGGTTTTTTCCTGAAAAAATGCCTACTTAAAGGTATTGTTTACAGATTTTATTTGATACAAAATGTTCCAGATACATCTGAAACCAAATATCCTCTGACTTCAGAGGTTACAGAACGACATATCTTTGTCTCTTACATCCTTTTCAGGTGCTAATTTTCCAAATGTGACCAACAGTGAAGATACTACCACACAAAAATATATTATGAACAGATTTTTGCACTCCAGAAATTATAAAGACCAAATAGGATGCTGAGATCAGACATAGTGCACATTTTTTAATATTATACACAATTAATGAAAAATTCTAATCCGTCAACACAGACCACATATTTTGTTCTTAGGTTACAGATGAGTCTGAGCTCCACCTAGCTCTTTCCCTGGAGGTCACTGGTTACCGTTTTTTTTTAGCATCCAGGGATTTTATACATCAACTCAACATCAAAAGACCAACCAGACTTAACATACTCCCTTAGCTCTACTTCTCCTTTCTCTGACTTTACCATACAGATTCAGGTTTTGACTTTTTAACAGTACATTAATTTAATTCCTCCCTTTATGATGATGAACTCATGGACAGAAAGTTTTTGCTAATGTTGTTTTCCTCACCCATGAAAAGCTGGGTCTCTGTTTAAGAGGAAGGGTGTTTTTGTTGTCTTACTCATTTTCTTTGCTCTGAAATTCAATTCCCTAACCACAGTCTTTGTGAAGAAGCTGTGTTCTCAGCTCTTATCTACATCTTCCAAGATCATTACAACTGCAATGGTAATTCATTGCCAAAATTCTGTTTACAGCATAATAAAATCTTGAGCCACTAACTGCTTCTTCCCAGATAGGAATTTAGCTTTGAACTGGCATGGGGAGGTGACAAGGCAAACATATTCAGTATCAGGCAGAGTCTGGGCATCATCTTCATATTCAACTACAGAAGAAATCATAGTAATATGGCCTGAAGGTGATAAATTAATTTTGGCTAGGTTCCTGTCTGGGAGGAAAGAACAATTTTCCTAATGAGATAAAGATGAAGGAAGACAAGGACCTTTAGGCAATTGGAATTTAGTCTGAGAGAGGCCCTAATAAATCAGGTTGTGCTTCTCTTTGTTTAAGGAAATACCTGTTAGGAGATCCGGGGCCTGTTTATTTTTCTCTGACAAACCTGATTTTCTTGGCAGTGCAGAAACTCAGAATCATACATTGAAATAAGAATAAAAGCAGGTGGTCAAATACAAGCTTCAATTTTTTATTTTTTTTTCATCTAAAATAAGTAAACACAAATCTCAGCTGATAGCATTCAATTTACACAGACCTCCTGCTACCTGGAAACTTGTATTTCCATATACAAAGTATCCACACTCAAATGAGCAGATTTGCTTGGAAAACTTGCGCTAGAAAAATTAGAGAATATCACTATTCTCACAAACACGTATATGAAGTACCAAGGGATTAGACGGGAGGGATGCAAAATCCCATGGAAATAGCAACTACAGAAGATGCAGCCCCTTCACACAGTACCCTTGGTGGGACACACACTCCACAGACTTTGAGCAAGCTCATATTGTGAGCAGCAGATTTAACACATGAACACTTTCCTGTAGCACTACTGTCACTGCTGATAGCAACAGCAGCAGCTCCTGCATCAGTTGGTCACTCACTTGAACACACAAACATACCTATACCACAGCCTCATGACAAAAGCTACAGCCTTCATCCAGTAGATTCTACTTCACCAGTCTCTCACTTGAACCTCTAAGAAAAGATGGAAATCACCGTCTCTGCCACTGCCTTTGCAGCAGAGCAGTTTGGGACCTCTGGCTATCACAGACTGGTAGGGAGGTCATGTCTCCAGTCAACCAGGCTGCGGTGAAGGCAGCAGTGCCAGCTCTGCTCCCCCACAAACCATGCATTCCTGCTCTTCTCTTATGCCAACCCAGGACACCATGTAGCCATTACCAGCACCACAAAAGGATTGGGGCACTTGGGTGGGAGTAGCAGAAAAGGCAGGATCACTTCTTCAGGGAGTTCACACGTTGACAGACGCACAGCGAGTGTGCAACCAGCCCTCAAATCACCACCCTGCTTGTGCTACACAGTTTCTACAGTCGCTGGCAGCAGCACACAATCTCAGCCTGCCTGTGCCTAAAGACTAATGTCTGTCTCTCCTTCAGGACAAGAATGACAAAACCTGGATTTGTCAGATGCTTAAATATCAGTTTCAGGGTGTTGAAGAAAGGAAAGGTCATATTTAAATGCTAGGTTTAGAGTTACAACAGGCTAAGAAAACAACCACCTCTGTGAAAAGCCTGTTATATCTCTGATCAAGACTGCACATTGCATACTTCATCCCAGAAAGTAATAAAAAGCTACAGCCAGCAATTATATTATAAATTAAAATGTAATAAAGCCTTTCAAATTGTCTTGGAGATTATAAAATTCTGTGCCTGAAATACTCTTTATCTGAGGGATTATATCAGCTGTTGCTCTGTGACTCCCTGTACAGCACAACAGCTTTTTCCGTGCCTGTCCTCTGAGACACCAGTGACTGTTCTCTCTGAAGGAAGGAAATCATAAAAGTTTAATTCCTCTTCTCCTCCCTTCCCCTCCCTTGCCACAAGAGAGTTGTCATGCCCAAAGGGCAGCAGACCTTCTGACTTCACTTTCAAGAGTGTGAATCTGCTTTCAGTAGCGTCACATAAAGATTTAGTACTTCAGAAATTTCTGTACCTCTGAACGAGCACATTATAGCTTTTGTGGTGATTCTTCAGAATTCCGACAGGACGTTTGTCTACCTCAGAGGATTTACTCAAACCATGACAAGACTTAAAAATGAAGATAGCTGAGAATGAACAATATTTGAGGTCTACCTCCATCAGGCTGTTAGGAATTATTTCTCTGAAACTTTTCACATAACCAATTTGGACATTAACAATGCAGTTGGGCGTTTACTTCCAACACACCAGCAGTGGACCAAGAAGCTTCTCTGAAAGGGTCAGTAACAAGGTACTTACCCTGTTCTCTATCAGTGTAAAGCAGATGATGCCAGCTTCGGTCTCTGAGACCACAGTGAACTCTTACAGTATGGTCACTGCAACATTCATCTCTTAGTACAATGCTCCCAAACCCATATAAGCACCAACAATTCCATGTCTTTTTGCTTTAGATGTATGCTTGTACAATGTCCATGTGGACCAAAGGAAATGGTGTACATCTAAATCAACACCTTATAGACGCAGCAATGCAAGTTCCTAGTACTCAAGAATTCACCATATACTTCAAAGAGTAAAATATTTCATCTTGGAATTGATTTTTTAAAAATTTTGTAAAAAAAAAAAATTAACCAACAAGTGTTGACACAGCCATTTCAAAGGGTATTTTTGGTAAATACTTTTTTCTTTAAAGCAAGGATGAACAAAGAATCTGCATTGCTATTCATTAATTTGTTTCAATACCTTGCTGCTACTGTTATAAATAAAAGCAGTGGGCCTCCACAACTAAGGAAACCAACAATGCTTCAGATTGAATCTCCTCTTTTTGCTAGATTACCACCCCCTGATTTATAACTGCCACCATTAAAGTACATTTTCACAGAAATCTGGATACATATGTTAAAGAAATCTACAGTATTTCAGCCCTTCAATCTAATTTTCAAAAAAACCCACTATGGTATAGTTCATACCAAGGTATTAAAGTCAGGTTTACTGATATGTTTTACTGTTAGCAAGCAATGTATGTTTTATCGTCTGTGGCAATACAAGTAGGGCTTACAAAAGCAGTTATGAATCACTCCTTTACCAACTAAAATGTTGACCTCAGTTCCTTAAAAACAAAACAGGATATACATTTCTTGAATATTTTTCTTAGCACCTTTTCTTTGTCACACCACCTTTAGAAGTGGCAGTAAAGGATTCTAGGCTGCTAATTGCATTCTATTCCATTAACTCTCATGAACTTACCTGAAAGAAAAGATCGAGACAGTTCCACTTTTACTCACATTCTATAGTTTCAAAAATATAGAAAAATGCACATGCCAAGGTTTCTTTTTTTTTTAATTTTGCTTCTCTACTTGGTGGGACTTAAGCACATGCATAAATGCTTTTCTGAATCACTGCCAATATGCTGTAAAATGACAATAACTTATGTACTACTTCTCAATACAATTTTCTTTGTCAAGAGAGTTTGAAGGTAAAAGTTACTTCTCAGAAACAATCTAGAAAAACATAGAAAAACCAGAATTGTCCAACGTTTTCCAATTCAACTTTATTAAATGAAAAACTTCAAAACAAGTGCTTTTATTACAAACTTCTAAGAAGGAATGCACCTAACAGTACAAATTAGTGGCTTCTAAATGGAGGATCAATATCTCATTGCATTTTACACAAAGAGCTAAAACCCCATGCTGTAACAATACAAAAAAGAGAAAGCTTTACAGATCAGGTTACTTGTCTGATTTGATGTTTTTAATAGACTGTACATCTGGCTACAGCCATTTCAGAGTCTCCATCACAATCGTTAAAAGTAGAGATTAAAAAAGGAGGCAGTTTATGACTTATAAGTATTTTCTACCATTCTATCCACTCTGCAAATGCCTTTTAACAGAGACATAGCTAGCTGACAATTTTAAAGCAGTATTTTGGTGTTGCTCTATATCATGATAGATTACTTAGATTAAATGATATGTATTATCTTACCTGATACATTCCAACTCCTATGTGTTTGGGCTCAATTTTCACTAGCTCAGCTAATGGATCTTGGACACGTCTAGCTATTGAAACTGAAAAAGAAAATTAGAAAACAGTAATGGATTTTATCTGAGAAACCAAAATCATATAATTGCTTTTGCTAATTTTTCTTTTTACATCTTCTACATACCTAATTTCTTTTAAACCTGGAAATAATCAATAATATAATTTTCACTGTTAGACACAGGACATCAAATATTTATTAACCAAATTTGTTATTTGAGTAATTCAAACAAAGGCCTAAGGGGATTTCAAACTCTAATTGTGACACTTAAGTTTTTGAGCCACAGAGATAATAAATAAAACTGTACATTATACTTTTTCCCATGTATCCATAATAAATGCATATGTAACATTTAAACTATGTAAGAACCCTTAACCTTAAATCATAGATATGTAGAAACAAATAAACATTTAGAAAAATAATGGAGTAACTTCACAGATTTGTTTATCTAATATAGTATTCCCTAAGGTATATATTTTATCCTTTTATATTATATATTTATCTAATTCAACCATAAAATTCAGTGCTAACTTTAAAAATGGTTCTTGGACTGTTTCTAACCTAAACTTTATAACAAAACACATCAATTGCAAACTGGCAACCTGTCATTGCTCTAACTACATTTAGAAAAACAAAAGCAATTTCCAACATTTCTGACGCCTTTAAGAGCACACGGTCTTCTAAATCGAAATGTTGAATCAAGACTGCATTTTTGAAGCCTACATTTATTAATGAATCCTTTGCTTACCTAAATCTCAGAAAACAAAAAAAACAAACAAGCACAATTTGCAAATGTCAATTCTCAGCCATCATCAGATTCTGCAGATACTGTGTTGTATTCAGGACAAACCCCACCCCTATACCTCCATATCATAAAAAGTTAAAAACAAAATGAAAAAAAAAACTTCAAAACCCCCCCCCCCCAAAAAAAAAAACACACAAAAAAACCAAACCCAATGCCAGATCTCGTTGTCAAGGCTGTTTTTCCTACCACATGCAGTTGTGCAAGAATAAGAGAAATGGGTTGAGACACAAGAAAGCTGTGATCCTTTAAAAGCTATGTCCAGAATCAACCCCACAGGGCATTAGTAACTTCAATATGCATCTCCTAAAATTTATTTTACATTTAAGTACATTTTTAAGCAAATCAAGAGAGGGCTAAAGGAAGAACAGGAGTCAACAGTAAATATGTACAGGCACAGTAGTTTGGTCAACCACACACACATTGTTTAAATAGGAAAACTGCAAGTATCTCAAGGGGTCAATAGCTAATTTTACACATATATAAAAACATGAACATGTGTATAATTACCATATAGTACAAATTGTATATTATATTATACAATAGGTAAAATTATATATATATGTATGTGTTTATAACTAAATCTATAAGGCACTTTACTGAATCACAGAAGTGTTTAAGTTGGACACACCTCTTGAGAACACATGCTGTCTAGTGTGACAACCCTGCTGAAACAGAGTCAGCTACAGCAGGTTGCCCCGGATCACATCCAGTTGGGTGTAGACTCCACAACCTGTCTGGTAAATCCATTACAGTGTTTGGCCATCCTGACAGTAGGTAAATGTTTTCTCATGTTCAGATTGAATTTGTTGTGTTCCAGTCTGTGCCATTGCCTTTTGTCCTAACAGCGCACCTTCTGAGAAGAGTCTCCTTCTCTCTTCTTCATTCCCTCCCCTCAGGTGTTTATAGCTATTTGTAAGATTGCCCTGAGCCTCCTGTTCTCCAGGCTGAGCAATCCCAGTTCCCTTGGTTTGTCCTTGTATGAAAGGTGCCACAGACCCTTAACCATCTTTGCAGCCCTAAATTAAATAGCAACCATCACTACTGCAGAGTGTGAGATTTCACAGCATTTCAGAAAAGAACTTGACTAATCATTGATACTTGAAGCCAAAATAGTAGCCAGAGCTAACATTTATTGGCTATGCAGGCTCCTCAAACCACAACTGCAAAGTTTAGCAATTAAATGCTGCACTAGAGATTTCATTTTTAAAGATCTGCACTTCTAAATGCACAGTTAACATGAAGTTCACTGCTCGGTCATGCAAGACTTTTCATATCCTTTATTATCCATTTTAACATGCTGACAAAGGCAGTTTGCTAGCTAGGGTCAAAAAGCACTGTGCTGGTGACATCTGATATGCTTGCTTCTCTGATAGAGAAGTTCTAAATTCAAAGACAACCATATATGCCTTCTTGTAAAAAAAAAAAAAAAAAAAGCAAAACAGAAAAAAAATCACGAAAGGTTAACCAGTGTAAGTACAGCAGTTATCACTTACAGAAGTACAGCTTACTGCATAAACACTTTTCTATTACAATAATTCACGTTAATTACTTTGAAATACTAGCCGTACCTATCACCCACCACCTAACAAACAAAAGTGAAACAAAGCACCAATGAAAGCAGTGGTGATCCAAACCAGGAAGCGTAACTATATATTTCTTCTGATCACACTGATGCCTATATACAGGTACTATACTTCTTCAGCAATTCTCCTTAAACTCAGCTTGCTTCATAGCTAAATAATGTTACAGAGAATTTTCTTTTAGTTCTACCTAATTGCAAAACACATTTCAAAGTTGCATTTCAGATAAGCTGAGAGCAAATACCTCTCACTGTCCCCATCTCCTTTCATTACATCTTTTAAAAATAGACAACTACATGGATAGTTTGATAAAGGAAACTTTCCAAGCATAAACTTCTCTTGGGACCCTTCAATTAAAAAGTAAAATTTAGACTCTTTTTGTCATAATAGCTTGGTTGACAATGCCGTCGTACCCTTGGAGGCTTCCAGTGGAGGCGCAGGACCTGATCCAGCAAAGCACTTGAGCACAGATGCATGTCGGTATTCCCACCGGAACTAGCAGAACTATTCACACGCATAAAGTTACACGGACATTTAAGTGCTTTCCTGGATCAGGCCTAATAGTTACAATATCTACACGTGACGATCAGCTAACAGTCAGTTATACTATTTAAGTGATGCAGCTCCTATGGCCAATACCAGCAGGATAGCTGACCTGTGTATTCCCATTAAAGCCGCAATTTTACTCCAGAACTTTTCAAATTAATAAATCAAAGAGTGCACAGTAGGAAAAAGGCAGGAACTGTCCACATTCTCTCTAAGCAGAAACTAAGCCAAGATTAGCATCTATTGCCTCTTGTACAGGCAAATCCTCTCATTCTTTGCTGGAGTAGCTGCACACTGCAATACACAGGTCTGTTTAGGGGGCAGTAAGGCTCCACTCTGGCCATTTGATCCATGTGCCTGGACTTTTAAAATACAAGCAAGAGTATTGCTGAAATCTCAAGGGCTCTGCAGGAGTGCAAGGTCTACTCCTATGGAGCAGAGACAGTAAAACCTGATGGTCTGACATTTTCCCCTTAAAAACTAAATCAAGACTATAAAATTTGATTTTCATATGGACCTATTCTATGGTAATATGGGCATTGCCTAAAACTACTTGTTTTTATGCTTGAAGTACATTTCAGAAATTGTTAGAAACCATGCGTTTTCAGAAGGCTAACAATGAAACAGGTAATGTGTTCTCACTTCTGCAGATATTAAGGTATTCTTTACTTTTGCTCCAGCAAATACAAAATAAATTATATAATGGCATGCAGGACAAAACTAGAATTTCGGATTTCTCAAAAGTTATCCGCATGGTCAAACATGAGATGCCATTCTTAAAAATATGCTAATTTAAGTAAACTGTGAAAAAAACGCTGTTCAATATTAAACAGGGTGTTAAGATCAGGATGACATGACCCTCTATTAGAAATAATTGCACACTTGAGAAACTTAAAGCTTCAAATCTTGAATTAAGAAGAAAATGTTACTGCAGTACTTGGAATGATGATAACATACTGTGCTTCCCTACAGTTAATTCATGTAAAATTTTAACACCTGGGGGGAACAGGATGGTCCACCTTGTCCTCCAACTTCAGTGTAGATGAACTTCACATCCAAATGCAATGAGAAATGAAGGTTACAGAAAGCATATTCTGGCATTTCGTAAGAAAAGCAATTTAACTGCTTGGAAGTCTTCATTCACTCCACACTTGGGTTATTTGATAAGACAAACCCATCAGACAGTAAAGCATGCTTGTGTGTCACCAGTGAAGATGCCACTCTGGTGGGCAAAAAGCATCCATAAGAGTTGCTTGCACAATTCATGCCAATCTCAGTGTCTCATCTTCACAGAATGTAAGGAATTACATTAAAATGTTTTGTTTCCTAATGGCTAATGAGCAGATGTGCCCTCATGAGCTTGCAAACACACCTAATTATCTGTCTACTCCTGTCTTAAAGAGATCTAATCTCTCTTAATTTCAAATTGACAAATGTAAAATTAGGACTATTTTCCACTCACATACATGTCACATAACTTTGTTCCTCTAGTACTTTCTACAGCAAGTGATATCATTTTTCACAGGGATTAAAAAGGAGAGTTTTCACTCAGGAATACTGATAATAGTTTTCAGGCTAAATTTTTTCAGACTAAACATCATAAAAACTGTCCACTTTCAACAGTGAGGGGAAGAAACAATACAGCAGCCTTCCATTTATTTCTCTAGATGGTATCCATATAAGGGCCACATCAGCTGCCAGCCCTAAAAAACCCAAGAATTAGTGCTAACTTCTTAGGCTATCTGCCTCACTTCAGTAATGGAACAGGTCTAAAGCGATCATTAAGACCCAAATCAGACATGCACACTATTTAGGGTGCAAGGGCAGCTGGAAATCTTGTCAACTGGATAAAATTTCTTATGGTTTCAAGCATTGTGCCCACTTTGGGGGCAGGCTGCCAACTTCTGTGGTTCACACAATAGCATATTGAAAAGTTCTCTTTTTGCATTACTCTATGTAAGAACTCAATGGCTTAGATAAGGAAAGAGTGAAAATGAGGAATGCTTATGGGTAGAAGAATGAAAAAATGCAATGTCTTTCAGTTACGGTGGCATTCAAATGTTACTTGCCACTGTAAGCAGAAAAACATTTTTGGCC